CCTTTTTTTTTTTTTTTTAAAAAAAGATCTGGATATTTCCTTATGACTTGGAATCCATCTTTGTCTTGTGTAACTAGGTCATAGCACACCATTAATGTCAGCAGTTAACAATTTTGAATTCCAAAAAAAACCTAAGTAAATGACATACTTAATTTTTTTAATCTTTTTTTTTTTTTTTTCCTTTCTTTTTTTTCTTGGGTGGGTGGTGGTGGGGGGAGCTTGGAGCTGTCTTAATCTGTATTCTCTTGACTGAACAATAAATTTTTAAATATATAGTTTCCTCTATTAAACACTTAAACCTGGCCATCTTATTAACTCCTTCTGCTCGCTCTCTCTCTTTTTTTTTTTTTTTGGTAACAAGGTAATGTTTTAAATGTATAGCTTTAGGACTAGCGAAATGGCAGCAACAAAAAACTGTAAGCAGTTGTAACTCTTTTTAAGTTCTTAAAAAACCTTTTTACCTTGTAAGTACCCAATCCATTCTGTCCTTAACGCAGTGCAGTTTTCATGTTAATGTTGCTGAGATGTCCTTAATTTTCTGAACCTTCATCTGCATGTCTTGTCTTTGTCGCTCTTGTCTAAAATAAGAAGCCAGTTAAAATGCTTTGAGACGATTTTGCTTTTAGAAAGCTAAGGCTTTAGCTTTCGGAAATGTTTACAGCAATGAATGCTAGTCAGCTTTCTTCCCAGGAACATGTACACTTTTCTTTGAAAAATCGATCTATTTGGGGGGGGGGTTAAAAAACAGCTCTGTTTTTCTGGTCTTGGTAGAGGGGTGGGTGAGGGAAAGGAAGACCTCTTTGTGTAAAGAGACGAAAAAGCCGTCACAGGAAACTAGATTAAAACTGGAAAACAAGTCCTGGCTGGTTCGAGCCAAACACCGACGTTGTTAACTCGCGGGGTGTTTGCTATGGTGGTTGGGATGGCCGCGTGTCTTTTTCGCCTTTTGTTTGACCTGACTGTGTGTTTTCGCCTTTTGTCTCTTAATGACGGTCACACCATTGCTATATCCAGAGCAGTAAACAGTCCTCAGCGAAGCCGCCTTTTGCCAACCCAACCCTGGAAAGTTTACAGAAGTGGAAGGAGCAGAAAATGCCATGAGAGTGTAACTTAACCCCCAAAAAAGGTAACAACAACAACAAAGGCACCACCATTTCCCCCAGATACTCCCAACTAAACAGTCCCCCACAAAGATCTTTTCTTTTTCTTTTTTTCCAATAACATCTCCCAAACCTCCGCCCAGCTTCATCTTCCAGACTCCATGNATAAAATAGATTTAGTGACATATAAGCATAGAACAGACTGACAAATTTCAGAGGGAAGGCTGGGTAAATTAAAAAAAAAAAAAAAAAAAAAAAGTGCCTTTTGCCCCTTCGAGGAAATGTGTTTTTTTCGAGCAGGCCAAAGGCTGCAAATGTGGGGGAGCCGAGGGGGTACGGTTTCTGGAGCCCTGCCCGGGAGGGGTTGGGGGCCGAGGAGGGTTCTTCAGACCTTTTTTTTTTTTGCCCCTTCTGCCCGGGAGGCAAGAAAGAGGCTCCCCAGCGTCCCGGGGCGTCCAGGGAGCCGCCTGCGCGCCTCCCTGGCTTTTCCAGGTCTGAGCCTGGGTGGGGAGAAGACATTGAGGTGCTTTGGAGAAGGGGGGACTCAGACGACGAGGACACGTCCCCGCCAGGCCTAGCGCCCCTGTCCCCTCGGGCTGGGGAGGCCTGGCCCGCGTGGCCGGCTCCCGAGGCCACGGGGCGCGCCTGCAGTGCCCCCGCCACGAAGGACAAAGGCCGGCGTCGGTGTTGACACCGTGACGCAGCACCTCTCCGCGCGCCCCGCGCCCGGCCGCCGCGCTGCTCGCTCCTCCCTCCCACACGCCAGTTTTAT